AAGCCTCTGGACTCCCAGGGGACACCCCGTGAACAGGGGCCTCCTGAACACTCTCACCTTCTTGTACCAGCAGAGCTGCCCCCGGCGGGTCAGGGACGCGTCCATGATGTCGTCAGCCACCAGGAAAAAGGCTTGGAACTGCGAGAGGCTGGATTAGGGCCGGAGGGTCCCTCGGGGGTCCCATCCCCAGGGTCCCGTTCCTCACCAGCTCGATGCACCAGCCCACGGCCAGGGCGGAGCGGAGGCTCTCCGGGTCCTGCTGTCCGGGGCCCGCCAGTCGCCGGAACGCGGCCACCACCGTCATCCCCCGGTTGCATTTTCCGCCCGGCGCGTTGTATTCCAGCACCTGCGGGAGCGGAGCGACGTGAGCAGCCCTGCCCCGCAGCGCTTGTCCCGTCCCGCCGGCCCTTCCCACCCCGAGTTCCCCGGCCCGGTCCCGCCGCCCCCTTCCCGTTACTCACCTGCTTCAGCCGTGCCACGGCGTCTCCCACCTCCGGGTGCCCCAGCCCGTCCTCCGTCAGGTCGCGGACGATCTGCGGGAAGAAGGCGGCGAACTCCTCGCGTTCGGACGCTGCCCGCGCCCCGGGCCCGCCGCCGCCGCTGCTCATGGTGCCGGTTCACGATCCCGCCGCTGCCGCCCGCGGCCCTCGCGGCTCCGCTGGCCCGGCTCCGCTCCGCCCCGCCCCCCGCGCGGGGCACGCCGGGACGCGCAGTCCCGAGGCGCGGACTCGGGCGCTGCCTGCTCCACCGCTGGACTACAATTCCCAAGATGCCCCGCGCCTGGGATGGGGCCGGCGGCCACGCGGTTAGAGCGGCGCCCATTGGCCCGTTTTATCGTGCGAGGATGAGCCCAAGGCAGCTCAGCCAATAGAAGCGCAGCGAGGGCGGCACCGAGTCGGGTGATTGGTGGAGAGGGAGAATGGAGCGAGCTCTCGGCCTGGCGCGGGGGCGTGGCGGGGCTTGGGGGCGGGGCTTGGGGCGGGACTTCGGGGCGGGGCTTGCTCGGTAACCGGGAATGGGGGCACGGGCACCTGCACGGGGACAAGGGTGCGCTGGAATTGGGGGCAAAATGGGCGTGTGGGGTGCCGGTGTGGGGTGCCATGCGATCTGTGGGGTTGCAGGGCGAGTTTGGGGCGCTGTGCAGGCGTAGGTCTCCATGCAGGTGTGGTATACCACGCGATTTTGGGGTGCCGTGGGGTTGTGGGTGCAGCACAGGGGTGCGGTGCAGCACAGATGTGGGGTACCGTGCAGTTGGGGGGCGCAGTGTAGGTGTGGGGCGCTATGCAGCTGACAGGCTGTACAGGTGTGGGTGCAACGCAGGTGTGGATGTAGAGCAGTTATGGGGTACAGAGCAGTTATGGGGTACAGAGCCGGTGTGGGGTGTGGTGCAGACGTGGGTCACTGCGTGGGTGCTGTGCAGGTGTGGTGTTGCACAGGTACAGGGTGCAGTACAGGGGCGGGGTGCCGTGAGGGGTAAGATGCCTCACACACCTGTGTGCACGGACGAGACCCCGGGGGCCGGGGGGTCCAGCTGCCCATCGACCCTCGAGGGGACGCCGCAGGGGTGACCTGGGCCGAGGACGCGCTGGGTGGGCACATGCGGTGACACCTTCCCGCTCTTGCCCGCAGGTCCTGCCTGGGCCCCCACCCCGCAGATTGGCTCCGGCCCCGAATCCCCTAATCCCGGCTCACCCGCGTTAATTAATCTCTCTATGGTGCCCTCTAATCCCCTCCCGCCACCGCCGCGGACGCGGGGGCTCGGGGCAGAGTCTCCGGCTCTAGGACGGGTGTCCTTGGGGAGCGGGAACAGGGGACGGACGGGGGGCTCTGCGGGGCCCTCGTATCCCGGGGCTTTGCCCTCAGCCCTGTCCCCGCTGCCCTCTGCCGTGTCCCCGGTCCCTGTCTCGCTGCCTCTGCCGCCCGAGCTGCCAGTCCCGCCGATGGACACAACCTGGATGGAAGAGTATTGGAGTAGGAATAGGACGTATGCTGGAATTCATTCCCAAAAAACCGCTCTTTTTGTTCCCGGCCGCCCCGCAGAGCAGCCCCGCGCCCCCTTAATCAGGCTGGCTGCAGTGTAATCTGAAATAATCAAATTAGAGAGAAACCGCTAATCATCGTTGAGCTCTTCGTGTGTCACGGAGCCTAATTCCTGCGGGGAGCAGGAGGGGCCGCCAGCAGCGGCGGGGCTGCAGTGGGGAAAGCCGGCGGGGCACAGCGGGGTGGCCACCAGCACCTGCGTCCTGCCTGCCACTGTGTCCTGCCTGCCACCGTGTCCTGCCCACACCCTGCCAACCCCTTCATCCTGCCTGTGCCCACTTCCAGCGTGTCCAGTGTCCAGCCTGTGGCCACTTCTGGCCCGCACCTCTGTCCTGCCTTGCCCTGCCTGCGCGGTGCTGTGCCCCGGGACCTGCGCCAGGTGCCGCAAACGCCGCAGTGCCGTGGCTCGGGTGCCCCAGCGCACCTTGCTCTGTGTGACCTTCATCTAATCGCGCTAATGCCTCGAGTCTGCTCTGCAATCAGGCGGTATCAAACCTGCCCCTCCCCCCGGCAATAAAGGGAACAGAGATGGAAGGGGAAAATAACCAAAGATTAAACATTAATCTGCCCAGGGCCGAGAGGGACTGGGGTGGGTGGAAGGAGACCTGTTGTCTTTGGGCTCCTGCTGTGCCACCCAGGTCCGTGGGGCCTGGGAGAGGCCCCTCGATGGCCCCCGAGGGTGTCCTGGCTGCTCCCGGCTCTGCAGAGGGCCAGCATTGGAGCTGGAGGTGCTGCAGCATCCCCCTGTCCTGTTCCATCCCCGGGCAGGGTGCTGTGGGATCGCTGGAGGTGCAGAAGGAGTCTCCCCCAGACCAGTTCAGAATCTCTCTTTATTATTTAAATCCATTATGTACAACGACCAAAAATAAAAAAACGCTCTTAAATTCTCTGCGATATGAAAACTACAAGCTCTGTACATCGACTGCCGTGAGTGCAAGAGTGGAGGATCATGGTCTTTGGTGGCTAAACTTGCGCCCGCGCACGGCCGGCACCCCCAGTCCCTCCAGCCTCCACCGGGGTGAGCACCGGGCCACGAGGTGTCACGGCGCAGGGCAGGGGCGGCGGTGACAGGAGCGCAGGGTGGCTCTGACTCCCGACACGGGGCTGTGGCGTGGGGAGGGTGCACCAGAGGCGCGGCCAGCGGGAGCTCGGTGCTGTCCGAGCCGGCCCGCGAGCTCTGCGGGGCACTGGGATGACCGCTAAGACATCTACATCACGCAGTGTGAACACAACCCGGGCACGAGGGACGCGCGGCTCCGCTGCAGATCCCTGCCCGAGGGGCTGCTGGGGACACACCGACCACGGGGATGGAGCGGGACGTGGGGGCGGTTGAAATCCATGGATAAAAGGCAGTGCAGGACATCCCCTCTGGCAGGCACTGCCGGGATTCCTGGTGGGCTGCTGCATCCCGCAGGCTGGGCTCCCAGAGCAGCCCTGCGCTCCGGACTGCTCCCGACGCCCCAAAACACGAGGGTGGAGAACTGAACACCTCACTTCAACAAGTACCGCGGGGAAGAAGACCTCGCCCGCTGCGCTGGGGGCCCGGCGGGCCCCGCTCAGCGGCAGCCGAGCCCCAGAGCACGAAGACAAGCCATGGTTCCTGACTCCGGGAGTGGGAAGCAGCTCTCGCAGCGCGGCGGGGTCGGAGGGGACACTACTCTAACCAGGACTGAACACAGTTGGCCCAAAGCGACACTGTAAGCAGAGCTCGGCTGCTCGGCAGAGCCACGACTCGCACACACATTGCACACTACTGTCTCTGGGGGGGGGGGGGCGTGGGGCGTGGGGCATCTGTGGGGACCCCGGGCCCCTGTTTGACCGGGGGTGACCCCACAGCCCCACAGGTCACCCAGGCGCTGCCCGGGATTGGAATCTCTTTGCGACAGCCTTTTGCTCCTGTGACACTGGTGACAGGCATCTCCAGGGAACCTGGAAACGGGACTGCAGCGCAGGGCAGGGGAGCAGAGCCCGGGCTGAGCATCCTCCTGGAGTCACAGAAGGGTCCCCTTGGACTGACCCCCTGAGCATCCTACTGGAGCTGCAGGCAGCAGAATCCCCCCCAGATTGCCCCCACAGGGGCACAGGGAGGGGCAGCCACAGTGCCCAGGTGTGGGGCAGAGCTCTGCCCAGCAGCACATCACAGCCTCACTGGGACTCAGCACCTCTGGGGCAGAACGGTCCCACAAGATGGGGAGAGGGACTGGGAGGCTGCTCAGTGGAGAGCTCTCTGACCCCAGCCTTACCCCTTGGCACTCTTCACACCAGGGGAGCCCTGCCTGGGACCCCCAGGTCCTGGCACTCCGGGAAGGGGGAGTGCTGACCCTGGACCCCCATGCTCTGCCTGCCCCAGAGGGAGCCCCTGCCATGGGCTCCAGCTTCCTCCCTCCACCCGGGCAGTGGACCCAGAGGGCTGCCTTTCCCTCCTCACCCTAAAGGCAAAGATGCTGGGCAGAGCAGTCTGGGGATCGAGGTGGGCGTGGGGCAGCCCCTGCTGTGACAGAGGACAAGCTGGAGGAGATGCCAGCGCCAGCCTGGCTCCAGGACAGGCTGTTGGAAATGCGGCACAGATAGTGGGGGGCCCGGCCCCCAAGGGGCAGTTATGGGGAGCTGAGCTCCCCAGAGAGGCCAGAGTTTGGGCAAGGGCTCTGACCGGTCCTGTGCCTCCGGGAGGAGGGCAGAACTCACAGATGGTGATGAGCAAGGAGGGGAGAGCCCGGGCAGGGTGATCCCCTTGGGGCAGTCAGCAGAGCCCCCTCCTCATCCAGCTGGGCCAGCTCTGGTGCTGGCCCCATGCTCACCCCTGCCGTGCCCCCGTGCCTGAAACAGCCCCTCCATGGCCCCGAGTGCTGCCTCTCACCTCATTTTCCCTCCGACACGGCGGGGCTGGTGCCCTGCTCCTCCTGCCTCCTCTGCCGCCGGGATGCCCGGGTCCCTTCTGCCTGCGTGGGTGCCGCCAGGACTCACATGTTGGATGAGAGTTTGGGCTTTGCCGTTTCCACCTCGGGGCTGAAGGCCACGGAGCCCTTGCGGGAGGGACCTGCTGCCTGCCTGGACGCGGAGCCCGGGGACTGGGGAGTGGATGCTCCCGCCGTGGAGCGGCCGGGCTGAGCCAGCGATCCTGAAGGCATCTGCTGCGGATGTGTGGGCTGGCCCGCGATCCCCGCACACGGCTTGGCGAGGAGTCCGGCTACCGAGGGCGAGGACCTGCGGGCCAGGTTCCCTGCAGATTTCCTGCCCTGCTTCAAGGAGCTCCCGTCGGCTTGCTGGGCCACTTTATTGGGAAGGGAGGGCTGGGAGGCCGAGAGGAGCCGGACATCCTGGGTGAGCCGCCCCACCGGCAGGCCCTGGATGCTCCTGTGCTTCACCAGCTGCTGGGGCTGCATCAGGAGGGAGATATGAGAGCCGGTGGCTCGGGACAGGCTGTAGTGGAGCGTTCTCCCCGGCGGCAGCGCCTGCTCGGAGCTGGGGGACGCAGCGCCCGCCGCTTGCTGCAGCAGCGAGGTGGAGACCGAGGCGCCGCGGGACCTGGAGAGCTGGGGCTGGGGGCCGGCCGGGGGCTGCTTGGCCCCCGCTGGCATCTCCCCCCTCTGCGCCGCGCGGGGCAGGGGCTGCGCCCCGGGGCTGGGTCTTTGGGCCCCGCTCTCCAGCGGCGCCTGGGACTGGACCATGGGGGAGGAAGGCGAGCCCGCGGCCGGCGTCTGGAGGTGGGACTGCGCCCCGGAGGGGGAGCTCACGGAGGAGGGCCGGGAGCCCCCCAGGCTGGGCTGGGATCGGCGCACGGGCTTGGTGAGCAGGGTGGCCTCGGGCGAGAGCGGGCTGGAGATGGAGGAGGGCGGCAGGAAGATGTGAGCCTGCAGGCTGTGCTGGTGGGTCAGCGCGATGGCCACGTTGGTGGTGGCGGCGGCTGTCTGCAGGGGTGCGTGCACCAGCGGCTCCCAGATCACCGGCTTCCCGCTCAGCTCCCGGCCCATCGCCATCTGCTGCAGGTCCTGGATATTGTGGGCCATGTCCTGGTCGTGCTTCACGATCTGCTGGATCATCTCGTTGTTCAGGGGCCCCGAGCTGTGCTCGGCTCTCTTGCGGAGCAAGATGGAGTTCTTCTTCCCTGGAGGGAGGCAGGAGTGTCACCGACCCTGGGAGTGTAGGCTCTTGGGGACAGTGTGGAGGGCAGGGTGGCAGTGGGGAAGGGACAATAAAAGCTCACCAGGGTTCCAGGGGAAGCAAGACCCTGCAAAGGGTCCAAACTGAAGCAGTGGAAGCAGCAGGGATAAAACAGGGGAGTCCTGACTCCAAAGGGACTGGGTGTTGGGGTTCTGCTTGTCCTCCACCGGCAAGAAAGGGTGAGGACAAGCAGCTGGTCACTGCCAGACACTGCAAGTGCAGTTCAGTGCGGTGCAGTGACATTTTCCCAGGGAAGCCTGTCCTATGGCACTGCCTGGATCTTGCTGGGAGGGGGAGAGATGGCAGGCTCCTTCCCCATGCTCCCCATCATCCTCATTGCTGGGCATCTATGGGGTTGGGGCACTCTCCATCACCTGTGGGTCTGGGAGCCCGTGGGCCCTGGGAGGGGCTATAGAGGTGGCTGTGCTGAGCCCAGGAGGTCACTCATTTCTCACCTATGCGGTCCAGCCGGTCCATGGCCACCGTCTCGAAGGCCCTGCGCATCATGGGGTACTCCTCCAGCACCTCGTTGAAGTTATCCACGGACAGGGAGTAGAGGCGGCAGTAGGTGTCGGCTCTCACGCTGGCCGTGCGCCTGCCCCGTGTCAGTAGACAGATCTCTGCAGGGACACAGGGGTGGGGTCAGTGTGACACAGCCTGCCAGCCCCCTCCCAGCTGTCAGAGCAGGAACAGGACTGCCACTCCAACAGCCTCCACAGAGGTGGAGCATGGCTCAGAGGCAGGGACAGACCCTGGAGCCTGCACAGCCACAGTTGTCTGCTTGGCCAGGCATTTCCTCCCTCTCCAGGCCATGGAGACACCCCTAGATGTGGCTGCTGTGATGGCCTGGCCTGTTTCCCTCCCAGAGCTGTGCCTGTATGCTATAAACTGGCTCAGATATTCTGCTCTAAACTCCCCTCCTGCCTGGCCAGCAGTGGGACAGTGGATGCTCCCTCTGCCCCAGCCACACAAAACTGGGGTGGAGTGGATGCCAAGACTTTGGCACTGAGCAAGAGGAGATGGGCAGGCAGAAACATTAGGGATGCCCCAGCTTCTGCTCCCAGGCAGCTTTTGGCCCTTACTCTGTTCATCAGGTCCCCCAGCCCAGCCTCACCCCCAAAGTAGGAGCCATCAGACAGCTTTGTCTCCTTGTTGCCCTTGGTGAGGATGCTGACCACCCCGTGCTGGATGAAGTACATCTTTTTGCCCACGGTGCCCTCACGGATGATGAAGTCCCCAGGCTGGAAGACCTCGAAGCGCAGCTTGGTCAGCATGGCCGTCACAAAGTTGGGGTCCGCGTTGGCAAACAGGGGCATGTTGGCCACCAGGTTGCGGCAGTTGAAGTTGATGATTTCCTGTGGGGTGAGGAGCAGGTCAGTGGGGACATCACCGAGCCTGGCCCCTGCAAGCACCAGCCCCTGTCCCCCGGGTCACACCACTGGAGTGCTGCCCACACCTCTTTGAGTGGCTCGCTGAGCTCCCCCAGGATGTTCTCCTCGTCAAACATCTTGCCCTGGTAGCGGTGCTCGTAGTACTCGTGGATCCGCTGGCGTGTGTCCCCAGGCAGCTTGTGGAATGACATGTACTGCTCCACTTGCTTGTACTGTGGGGACAAGAGGAGTCACACAGGGCTGAGCTGGGACCACCTGCATGTCTGGACGATGCGTCCCTTCTCCTCAATGGTGTAGATACAGACATTCCTGCTCCAGTATCCGGTCCCAAAGGCCACCTCTGGGGCAAAGGACAGGACCCCTGTGCACTCAGGATGCAGGTAGAGGGCAGGATGGGGCCACACTGTGCAAAAGTGACTTCCAATATGGACACCAATATGGTCTCTCTCTCAATGGGCAGCCTGAGCTCCACCTGCAACAACCCGAGGGAGAGTGGCAAGGACAAAGATCCCAACCTCTGGAATCAGTAGGGCACGGCAGCTGTGCTGAGCTGGTTCTGGAGCTGGACCTGCTCGTGCCAGGACCCTTCCCCCAGTACCCAGACCCTTCCTCCCCGACTCTTCTCACCTTCTCCTGGTACTGGCGCCGGGATGAGTCCAGGGACTGGATGAGGGCGGTGGCGTGGCCAATGAACATGGCATAGCAGGTGGCCCCCACGATCATGCTGAGCATGGTGAGCCAGACATCGGTCATGCCCTCGGGTGCCTGCTGCCCGTAGCCAATGCAGAGCATGTGGCTCATGGCCTTGAACAGGGCGTGCGAGTACTGCTTCCCCCACGAGTCGTTCTGCAGATGAGGGACAGTAGAAGTGGTGGGTTTGTTGGGAGGTGCTGTGGGGATGAACCCCCCAGTCCCACCTCCCTAAGATGGGGAGTCCAGAGACCCAGTGAGAACAAGGTTCCAGCAAGGCCAAAGGGACGAGTTGTCCTCCAGGAAGAGGCACTGTGACTGTATGAAGCCCTCAGCAGGCACCATCCCCTGCTCTGGGGAGACGGGAGTCTCAGTGTCCTGTTCCCTTCCCGAGGGATTCCCTGGCTCCAGCAAGGTGGGCTGAGATGGGTAGGTGATGCAGAGATTCCCTCTGCCCTGTCTCACTGCTGTGACCACAGAGACACTGCTCACCAGCACATCTCCCAGCAGTTCCAGCCTTGGGGTAGGAGATAGGGAACCAAATCCTTTCCCCACCACAGATCCCAGCTGGAATCACCCCTGTCTGGGCACTCACCACCATGTGGTTCTTGGAGACCCAGCAGTCCTCAGGGAAATCCTGCAGCATGGGCACCAGGAACTGGAGGCAGCCGTCCCAGTGGCACAGCAGCAGCATCATCCCGATGAGGTTGAAGATCCTCACCACGGCACTGGCCAGGTCATACGTCATGTGGAAAATCTGGGGAACAGGCAGGAGTGGAGCTGCAGAGAAACTCTTCTAGAACAACCCTTGGAGCCCTCTGCCCTCCAGACAGCTGTACCCTGTAGCTAGGGACCCCCAACCCAGCCTGGGACCCTGAGCAGGAGACCCCCAAGGGGTTCTCACCTCCTCCCACTGGTGGATGTAGCGGATGAGGCGCGAGAGACGCAGCAGGCGCAGCAGGCTGAGGATCTTGGTGAAGCGCACGATGCGCAAGGCCCGGGCTGTCTTGTAGACATCAGAATCCACCTGAGTCTCCAGGTCAACAATGAGGAAAATGTAGTCAACAGGGATGGAGGAAATGAAGTCGACCAGGAACCAACTCTTCAAGTACTTCATTTTGATGGTGTGAGGGTCAAGGATGATCTCCGTGTTGTCCTCCACCACGATGCCTGTCCGGAAGTTCAGCACCAGGTCAGCCAAGAAGAAAGTGTCCGAAAGCACGTTGAAAACGATCCAGGGAGGGGTGTTCTCATCCTTGAAGAAGGTGATGCCCACGGGCAGGATGATCAAATTCCCCACCATCAGGAGCAGCATGATGAGGTCCCAGTAAAACCTGCAGGGTGGGAATGCAAGGGACAGAGCAGGACAGGGAGGAGTGGGGAGAAGCAGGACACAGGCAGTTAGACAGAAAACCCAGGATCATAGTTAGGGTCTGACAGAGTGCAGAGTGCTGAGGAGACACACACACACACACGTGCCTGCCCACACACATGAACTAACATCCTGCTGCGTGGCTGGGACAGATGTGAGCAGACGTGTGTGGAGAGGAGCAATTCAGCACCGGGGCAGAGGCCCAGGGGTACAAAAGGGGTTCCTTCATGGGAATGGGGGGCTGTAGGAGCATGGCTGTCTCTCTTTTTACTCCAGGACAGTGCATGCACACCTGTGCCCCCACCCCAAAGTGGACGTGTGCCCCATGGAGAAGTCAGAAAGGATGTGGGCTTTGCTCTCTCTTGAGGCTCTCTATCATCTGCTGTCTCCCTGCCACCACCCGAGTTGGCTTAGCAGGATTTGGGATAAGCTTTGCTGGTTATGCAAACCGAGTGCCGAGCTCCTGGGGCAGCCGAGGAGGATCGGGGATGTTGTTGTGGTGAGCCAGGCAGCAGCCAAGCAAGGATAGACAATGCTGGCACCAGAGGGAGGTGGGAGGAATGTCCAACCCTAAAGGAGCTGCCAACACGCACAGGGCAAGAGCTGCACGGCCCAGGGCCTGCAGCACTCCTCATCCACCTCCTTTTGCTGAGAGTGGACAAGGTCGGAGGCTTTGGAGGGAAAGCCAAGTGATGCCGGGAGCAGCTGGTTATGTCAGGACACCCAGCAGCCCTGTTCACATGTAAATGCCACTGTGATGTTTTCATTCTTCACACAGACACATCACGCCTTTCTCCACCAGGCTTGTGACTCCTGGGATCCCCCTCCATGGGTCCATAGGAAAACAAGTCCAGCTCTCACCTTCAGGTGTCCCCAGGCACCCCCTGTTAGTCCCAGCCCTGGTTGTGGGTGTAGACTCAAATCTCCAAAGGTGATTTCAGGACAGCTCTTAGTGCCCAGTGGATCCAAACCAGCTTTTACAGGTGACAGAAACCTGTGGGGATTTCCCACCCCACACCCATGGTGGGACACAGGCACTGGGCTCTCTGCAGCTGAGGGAAGGGAAGGGAAGGGAAGGGAAGTTGTGGTGCCATGAAAGGCTTCTTCAGAGAGAGAGCAACAGAGCCAGAGGGGAGTAGGGGGAGGCATCCTCTCTTCAAGGAGCCGCCCCAAGGTCAGGAGTGATGCCAGGACCAGGAGCCACCCTAGGGCCAGGAGTGACCCCATTATCAGGAGCCCACCCCAGAATCAGGAGGCTCTCCCAAATTAACACCTTCCTGCCAGTGGCCAGGATTTGCTGGGCCAGGCAAGGAAAAGCAGCTGAGGGAGAAGGGGCCTGACCTAGCTGAGGAATTGCCTCCTGCACCTCCATGCTGTGCCCGGAGGAACTGAGTAGGGAAGCTCCTGTCCCTGTAGCTGCCCAGCCTGCCCGGAACTCTCCTTTCAGATTTAGGCTTAAGCTCTTTAGGACAGGCCTTGTCCTTCACTACGTGTCAGACTGAACACTCGGGGCCCTGATCTCCATGGCCTCTATGTATCTCCCTAATGTGATAAACACCGGAGTAATCCCCCTGTCTGTCTACCTGCCAGCTCCCTCCATGGTGCTGGTTGTAGAAGCTGCTCCTGCCAAGCTCAAGGCTCACAAACTTTGGAATGGTTTCCCTGGGAAAAGGGCTCTCAGGGCTGGCAGCCCTGGGCGTCATCCTGGAGTGATTAGGGTGAGGGGAGATGGCTACAGGTGCTGGGGACCCACACTGGTTGCTGGCCCCATTCTGGGGTGCACCCCAGGCTGGGGACATCATCCATGTCACAGCTTGCTGCGGGAGATGACTGCCTGGCAGCTTCATTCCCCGTGGAGAAAGCCCACCCTATATGACTCAACATCCCCGTGACACCCAGTTCCTCCCACATCATCCATCCCCGAGCTCCCGCTGTGATCCCGGTGACACCGAGAGCCAGGCCCGGCTCCTCGCTGGGTGACCAGCCCTGCTCCAGCTGCGGGGAGCCACGTCCCAGGAGGATGAAGGCTCCTTATCAAATTAAAAACAGCATCGAGAAGGGTGGGGGGAGCTATAAGGGCAGGCAAAGCCCAGCAACCCTTGCCTTCTCCTCCGCACGCCCGGGGCCGGGTCAGCAGAGCTCCGCGGCTCGGCGGAGCCGGGCTGTCCCCGGGCACCGGGAGCCCCGAGAGCCCGGGGAGCCTGAGGCAGGACAGAGTTGTCCGTGCGGGCGGGATAATCCCAGATGGGAAGGGGCTGGGGCAGCGCGGCCCCGGGCTCCGGTAGTCGGCAGTCGCCTCCGCGGGCCGGTGCGGAGCCCCGGCTACCGGCACTTGTTGCCCCTACGGTGTCGGGCGGCGGGGCCGCGCTCAGCACCACGGACAGCGGCAGCGGGCACGGGGCCGGAGCGGGAACCGGGATGGGGGTCGGTGCCGATGTCAGGGCGGGGGTCGCGGGGCCCCGGTCCCACCTGAAGTCGCTGTAAGGATGGATAATCCAGGCGCCCGCCGACTTCACCCGTTGCCGCTCGATCTCCACGGCCCGGTGGCTGCCGAACATGCGCAGCGAGAACTTGTTCACGGCGGGCTGCAGCATCGCCCCGAGCTGCCGCTGCACGAACGTGCCCGCCGCCGCCGCCTCGCCCTCCGCCACGATCTGCTCCGTCGCCGCCGGCGAGGCCGGGGCCGCGCCCGACGCCCCCGCGGGCGCCCCCGCTGCCTCCCCGTCCAGCACCGGCGGCTTCTCCCGCGGCTCGGGGCTCCGCCGCGGCGCCGCCTCCATCCCGCCGCCGCCGCCTCGCCTCACGTTTCCTTCAAACGCCCTTGCCCGGGCGCCCTGCCCGTCGCCCCGCCGCACATGCCCGGCCCCGGGCGGGCGGGCGCTCGCTCGCCGCCCGCGGCCACTCGCTCACCGAGCGCTCACGAAGCTCTGCCGGCGCCCGCCTGTTGCGCACGCTCCAGCGCGGGCGCGGCGGCCACCGGCAGCCGGGCAGCGCCGGCGGCACCGGAGCGGCGGCGCGGGGAGCGGCGAGGCCCGGGCGGCACCGGAGCGACGGCGGCAGCGGCGGGGGGACCCCGCGGCGGGCGGGGCGGGGCGGGGCCGGTGGGCTGGGCAGCGGGAAGGAGAACGCGCCCCCGGTCCAGCCGCGCCCCCCGGTCCGGCCCCGACAGCGCCAGAGGAACCGGAGGGGGGCGGGGCTGCCAGGAGAGAGGGGCGGGATTACCCAATCGGGACCCCGCCCCTTACTTATAGCCCCGCCCCATGGTCGGCAGGAGGGCGAGGAAGGGCGTGGCTTGGGGGACGATGGGCGGGGCTAATGAACGTAGTCCCCGCCCCTCCGGTCTAACCCCACCGGCGGGCGGGCACGGAGCGGGGCTCCTGGAGGCGATGGGCGGGGATATCAGCATAGGCCCCGCCCATCGCTCGACCCCGCCCCTCGACACCGTCCCGCCCCCGTCAGGGCAGCGGGGTGTGGCTTCGGGGACGAGGTGGGCGGGGAGATCTGCCCTGGTCCCGCCCCTCGGCCTCGCCCGGCCCGGGACGCTGGGGCCGGGAAAGGGGCGTGGCTTAAGAAGGGAGCAGGGCGGGACTAGGTTCCGCCCCCGGATCTAACTCCGCCCATCGGCCCCACCCGGTGTGACGCAGCTCCGTTTGCCTACGTGCGTGCGTACGTGCGCGCGTACGTGCGTGCGCGGCCCCGCGGGCTGGCAGGACCCGGATCGGCGGCGGCGGCGGGAGCTGGAGCGGGGCCCGGGGGCCCACGGCCGCCATCACGGATTTCCTGTGGGACAAGCGCACCGGGCTGGCTGCGAGGACGGTGCGGCGCGGCGCGGGGCGGGATGGGGTGGGTAGGCCGCGGCCGGTGACCGTGGCGCGGGGCGGGCCTTGCCTGTGGGTCCTGGCAGGGCCGCGGTGGGAATCGGCGGCCTAGGTGTTCCCGCGGGGGCGGTGGGGCCGGATGGCCCGGGGGGACCCGGTCGGGGCCTCTCCGCCGAGGCCGCCCCGCCCTCGGCCCATCTCTCCCGGTGTCCCGGTGCTTCCGGCCCTGCACGGCGGAGGCCCCGCCCGGCGCGGCCGCCATCACCGTCCTCAAACCTGTTCCAGCCCCGCTGCGGAACGCCCCAGTGCTCGTTCCACGGACACGGGGCTTGGCGGGCCGCCAGCGCCGCCTTCGCGTTCCCTTCAATCAGCGTCTGGGAACGGCGAGGCGAGGGGGGAAGCCAGGGCAAAGCCCTCCGTGCAGTGGTACCGAGCCCGTGTCCCCGGGTCACCCCATGGCCGGGGCCGGTTCGGCCTGTCCAAGCCCTGCCGGTGATGTCAGCGTAGGGCGGAGACGGGGACGCAGCCGAGGGCATTTTGGATGGGGCAAATTGCCGCGAGAGCCCTTTGGGAAAAGGGAGCTCCGGCTTCTATTCCGGCCCTGGCACACATTGCCCAAAGAAGCTGTGGCTGCCTCGTCTCTGGCGCGTTTAAAGCCACGTTGGACGGGTCTTGGAGCAACCTGGGCTAGTGGAAGGTGTCTATGCACATGGCAGGCCGTTGAACTGAGTGAGCTCTCAGGTCCTTCCCAGCCGTTAACATTCTGTGATTTGTGCTTGGAACCAAAATCCGTGTGGGGGAATGTTCGAGAGCTGTGGAGCACGGCCTGGCAGGGTCTGAGGGGCTGCACCCGCTGTGCCATCTCCCCTTGGGGTCTCCAGCCTCTCGTGTTCCTTCAGAGGGGCAGAGCTGAGGCTCTGCAGGGCACTGTCAATGCCTATTAGGAAGGGAAGGTTTGCTCCCGGATGGTTCCCTGTAGACAGAGGGTCATAAATTTCCTGAGTTGAAAGGGGTTCACAGGCATTAGCAAGTCCTGCTTCTGGCCTTGCCCAGGACACCCCAACAATCCCTGGGACACCCTATGCATCCCTGGGAACATTGTCCAAACGCTCTTGGAGTTCTGGCAGCCTTGGGGCCAGGACCATTCCCTGGGGAGCCTGTTCAGTGCCCCAGCACACGGGGGGGGAAGAGCCTTTTCCTGATATCTAACCTAAATCTTCCCTGACAGAACTCCAGCCATTTCGTCTGGTGCTGTCACTGCTCACACAGAGCAGAGGTCAGAGCTGGCCCTCCTGAGGAAGCTGCAGCCCCCTGAGATCTCCCCTCAGTCCCAGCTGAGCAGTCCAAATACCCCCAGCTGCTCCTCGTGTGGCCCACCCAGACCCTTCCCCACCCTTGTGTCCAGGTGTAGATGTCACTTGGCAGTAAACCCGAGGCATCTCCTGAGAAGCTGCTTTTTGGGCATCCATTACTGGTGCACAGGGACTCTGGTAATATCCAGGGCTTCATTTCACCTTCCCTCAGTTCTCCTTGGTGCTGCTTCCCTCCTTCCTGGGCAGCTTAAAGAGAGAAGGTGTAAAAGCTGTTCCTGGAGCTGTGGACAGTAGAAACGGATGTGAAGAAGGGATATGAACCTGGGAAAGAGAACCACAGGGAAAGTGTTGTCATCCTGTCCTGTGGGGCTCTGGGATCTCTCAGAGGTTCCTCCCCTCTCTCTCAGATCCCCTAGCACAGTCACGCACACTTCTGGCGGCCTCCCTGCTCTGTGCTGCTTCCTGTCCCATGCAGCTGTCCCCACAGGTGGCTCACAGGGTTCCTGCCGTCCCCATGAGTCGCTTATAGGGTTCCTGCCGTCCTCATGAGTGGCTCACAGGGTCCCTGCCGTCCCCACAGTGTCTCACAGGGTTCCTGCTGTCCCTGCGTGTGGCTCACAGGGTCCCTGCTGTCCCACAGTGGCTCACAGGGTCCCCGCAGTGGCTTATAGGGTCCCCGCTGTCCCCACAGTAGCTCTCAGGGTCCCTGCTGTCCCAATGGGTGTCTCACAAGATCCCTGCTGTCCTGCAGTAGCTCTCAGGGTCCCTGCTGTCCCAATGGGTGTCTCACAAGATCCCTGCTGTCCCCGCAGTGTCTCATAAAGTCCGTACTGTCCCCAGGGTGTCTGACAGTGTCCCTGCTGTCCCCGCAGATGCCGCACTCCCGAAGGTACCGCTCGTCGGAGCGCAGCAGCCGCGGCAGTTATCACGAGCGCTACCGGAGCCGCAAGCACAAGCGGCGGCGGACGCGGTCCCGGTCCAGCAGCAGCGAGCGGGACCGGCGGCACCGGCGGGAGGACAGCTACCACGTCCGATCCCGGAGGTGAGCGGGGCTCACACCGACCCTCCTGCACAGGGTCACTGAGGGGTTGGCTTGGGAGGGAGCTCTGGGGTCACCCAGTGCAGGTGGCACAGGGACACGTCAGGTGGGTTTGGGATTGTACTGGTTTGAAAGCAAAACCAGTGAGAGACTCCAAGTCAGAAATACAATTTAATGGGAAAAAAAGAGAAAAAATAAAATACATGCAGTAGTACAAAAGAAAACCACTGACAGAGTCAGAATACAACCTGACACCCTGTCAGTCAGTCAGTCAGGGTGTTGGTAGCAGTCCCATTAAATGGTGGCTGCAGTCCTCCTGGAGTGACAGATGCTTCAATTGAAGCAGTGCTCTTGTAGTAGAAGGGTGCAGTTTTCTTTCAAAGGTCCAGTGTTGATGTGGGAAGGTCCAATTTTCCTCTGGAATCCAGTGGGAAAAGGCTGCTCTCATGTTCCAAATCTCAGATTTTATCTAGGTAGGAAATGCTTGGCTTCTCCCCCTGGCTGGAGCATCTCCCAATGGGATGATGTAATTTTTGGGACTCAATGGCCCATTAACGGAACATATCCTCCTGGAGGAAGGATGGGTTTGAAAAAGATAAAGAGTACTGCTCCACCTGGTTTTTAACAGATGGCACATTAGCACAGGGTATCTCCCACAGAGATAGGATCACTGCCCCACCTGATTTCAGCAGATGGTGATAGAATCCATACTTTTGGGCACATCTTTACATTGTAACCTAGGACAGGAATGTCCCCAGAGAGAGAGAGATCCCATGCCCAGCTGTTCCAGGTCTCTGCCACCTCCCATGGGAAGAACTTCGTCCTTGTGTTGAGGTAGATTGTGGTGTGGTTTAGTTTATGGCCATTGTTCTCCCTCCTGTCGCTGGGCACCTCTGAAAAGAATCTGGCACCATCCTGACACCTGCCTTGGAGATACTAATGTGCAATAATGAGATTTCCTCTCAGTCTTCTCCAGACTAAACAGGCCCATCTCCCACAGTCTCTGCTCGTTAAGAGAGATGCTCTGGTCGCTTAATCATGGCCTAGTCATCTCTACTCACCAGGTTCCATGTGACCTGGGCCTGCTCAACGTGACAGCCTGGGCAGTGCTTGTCACCAAACCCCCTCAGTCCCCTCTTAGGGAAACTTCCCTGTCCGACCACCCAGGAGTCCCTCTGGCAGTGTCACTCCACAGCCTGAGCTGGGACCTGGGACTGAGCACCTTTGCAGCAGTGGCTTCAGTGACCCAGTGGTTGCTCTGTTTGACTCCCAACACACCCCAAACTCCCAGTTAGACCAGTTCCCTTACTGACTCAGCCCGGATTTCTCACAGCAGAGTCTCAGAGGTCTCAGTCATTAAAAATAGTTTAATCTTGGTGCAATAACAAAGTAACAGCTTTAGTAGTGCCTTCAAGGAGGGGTCATGAGCTTTTATCCCTTCATAGTCTCAGTACAGGAAGATCTGGGGTCCTCAGCTCTGAGTGTCCCTCAGCTGGCTGGGACACAGGTCCCAGGTTCCCCTTGTGATGCAGAGGGTTGGCAGTTCATGGCTTCTTGCCTTGGGCTCCTACCCCTCAGCTGCCACTGCCCCTGGAGCTGCCAGCATTGAGTGTATCCCCTCTACTGTGCTTTTGTGAGACACCTGGAGCACTGCAAAGTTTTGGTGTTCCCAACGTAACAAGGACATGGAACTGTTGGAATGGGTCCAGAGGAAGGAAGTTGTTAAGAGGACTGGAACACCTTCCCTGTGGGGACGGGCTGAGAGAATTGAGGCTGGGAGAGTTTTCCAGCCTGTGGAAGAGAAGGCTGTGTGAAGACCTCACAGCACCTTCCAGTATTTAAAGAGGCCTACAAGGAAGCTGGAGAGGGATCCTCCATGAGGAACTGTAGTGACAGGAGAAGGAGTAATGGGTACAAATTGAAAGAGAGAATTTAAGCTAGACTTTAGGAAGAAAACCTTCCCTGTGAGGGTGATGAGACACTGGCACACAGGTTGGATGTGGATTCCCCAGCCCTGTCCGTATTCAAGCCCAGGTCGGACAAGGCGATCTGGTCTAGTGAGAGGTGCTGATGATCTCCAAGTCCATCAGCTCCATTCCAACCCCTCAACATTCCCCTCCACATCTCCCTGCCCAGCTACGACGACCACTCTGCAGACCGGCGGGCCTACGACCGGCGTTACTGTGACAGCTACCGGCGCAACGACTACAGCCGCGAGCGGGGCGATGCCTACTACGAGCCCGAGTACCGACATTCCTACGAGTACCGGCGCTCCCGGGACCGCGAGGGCAGCTACCGGAGCTGCAAAAGCAGCCGGCGTAAGCACAGGCGGAGGCGGCGCCGCAGCCGGTCCTTTAGCCGCTCCTCATCGGTGAGTATCCTGCCGTGCCGCGCCTGCCCTGTAACCTTTCTCTCTCCCAGGTGCTGAGCTGGGTAAGTAGAAAACTTCACTTTCTAACGCTGTCTCGGACTCGGCTTGAACTGTGTGTTAGAGAACTTTTGGTGCAGAGCGTTGCTGCCCACATCCCTGTGCGCCGTGGCCGGCGCTGCCCTGTGCCGGCTGGGCACGGGTGGCTCACACCCTCTCTCTCAGTGTTGCCCGCTCAGGTGGGAGGACAAGAGTGCCCCGCAAGACTGGCGGGTCCCCAGGGTGGTGCTCTCGTTCGGTGATGCTCGTGGAGCGCTGTGTAGGAGCCCCAGCCAGGCAGGATTTGTGCAAGGCTCCAACAGCCAGCGCTCAGCTGGCCCCAGTCCCAGAGAGCCTGTGACAGGTGACTTGCTCCTGTGGTCCCTGTTTCGGGCTGTGGCAGGAAGCCCCTGGCTCTGAGAGTTAGAACCTGCTCCAGAGCAGGATCCTCCTGGGTGGGCCCAGCTGATGTGGCATGTCGTGCAAGGGACTTTGCAGAGGAGCAGAACTTTTGGATCACTCAGCTCAGGTGGAGGCAGAACCATCCTAGGCTCTTCCCAGCAGCATCCCTGGCTTTCTCTTCTTGTCTGTTCTACTGTTCACCTTCCACTTCTGTTAGACCCCAGACACGTTCTCTGCTCTGTGTGTGGAGCTCTCAGTGTTGTCTGGTCTGTTCTGGCTCTGTGTCCAGGGAGGGGATTGGGGGCTGGATTTGGGTCCCAGGTCTGCTGGCCAGTTGTTCCCAGGTATGGGGATACTTAGCTGAGGAACTGAAGGCAGGAATTTTCTCTTCTCTGGCATAAACCTCTTATTTGCCTCATCCCAGGCTGTCCCTGTTCCCTGTTAGGTTCTGCTTCTCTTCTGGAAGTTAGTCCTTCCAGGATCAGCTTCTTTGCGGGAGGGTCTAGGAAGAAATGTCCTTCTTTCCCCAGGCAGTCACTGCAAACCTTTGGTTTTGGATGGATCATTGTATCTAGAGCTGCTGTTCTGAGATCTCGGAATTCATCTTTCCCTGAGTGTCGGGGCTGAGGGAAGCTGTGTGGGCGGTTATTGCAATGGGATGGGGGTGCCTGTGGGGGCAGCCTGGGCTTGTGCAGGACCTCCCAGCACCTGCCTCCTGCTGCCCTTGCTCTGCAGTGGCCGTGGGGCTACTGGGAGCCCCTCCCCGTGGCCTCTGGCCCTCGGCGTGCTCAGGCAGTCCCCAGGACCCGAAGGCCGGTGCTGTTCCTCTCTGAGCCCCCGTGGGAGTGAGAGCAGCTGGCCCCTTTCATGCCCCTCAGCTCCCTCACTCTGACAGCTCTGCTGTCACACTGGTTCGGGTTGGGGCTGTTTGTAGGTTCTTTTTTTTCTTATTTTTTTCTTTATTTTTTCTTTTTCTTTATTTTTTCTTTTTTTTTTTTTTTTTGCTACAACGAAAAGCAAACTGTTTTTTTCTTTTCTGAGCTAGTGTGTTGTATCTTGACATGTTCCCTTGCAATATCCCTATCGTTATATATTCCTCTGTGCCGTATGAATTGGCTGGGAATCTCCTCCTGCAACCCCTCCTCAAACAACCATGTGAATTTCCAAACCAACCAATGCGTGACGCTGGCTGCTGCGCTGGTTTGAAAATCTGATTGGTGAATGATGAATTCCCTGTCTGCCTGGGCCAGCAGCGGAGTCGACAGAGCAGCAGAAGGGCCAAGAGTGTGGAGGACGACGACGAGGGGCATCTGATCTATCGCGTCGGCGACTGGCTACAAGAAAGATGTACAGCCAAATCGTAACATAATTTAGCTCTCTAGTTAAGCTCCCATCGCAGTCGCAGATCTGTCTTATCTTTCTGTTTCATTTTATTTTCATTGTTTATTAAAGAGAAACCCTCTCCTTTCCTTCCCCTTTTGTTAAAGCTACGTTTATATTGTGTATTGTTACTGAAGTGCCAGGGAATTAGGGCAGCTGCCTTGTGCAGCCGGTGTCAGCCTTCCGCTGCTCCGGTCTCTCCAGCTGTGTGCAGGTTAGGTGTTGCAATGCATTCTCCTCTGCCCTGTGTATCGCTGCAGCCAGGTCCTGCTCCCTCTCTCAGCTCCTTCCCTCTCCTTCTCTCCCTCCCAGATGAGATTATCAGCACCTTGGGAGAAGGCACGTTCGGCAGAGTGGTGCAGTGCATGGATCACCGGAGGTATGTGGGGAAAGGAGAGATCACAGCTGGCAGCAGAGCCTTTTGGGCATAACGTGGGGGTGAAAAATCAGTCTCTTGGTTTTCAATATCCTCTGCTGCTCCAGGGCTCTCACCTTCTTTGTGTTGCCCATGTGCTGGGGGAAGCTTCAGGGCTGTTTTGTAGGGAGGGAAAAGGCACAGCTTTGGTGGACACCCCTTAGTAATAACCTGCTTGAGCCAGGGTGGGGAGGCTGGTCAGAAGGTTCCTTTCACAGGGCACAGCCCCTCTAAACCACTCAGGGCTCACCTTCTGCTTGCTTCTGTTTCTCTCACAGGGGTGGTGCACGTGTTGCTCTGAAAATCATTAAAAACGTGGAGAAATACAAAGAGGCTGCTCGATTGGAAATCAACGTGCTGGAGAAAATCAACGAGAAGGATCCTGAGAACACAAAGTGAGTGTGCTCGTAGTGTTCAGCAGAAAGGGCCAGTTTTAGGGCTGGGGTGGAAGAGGTGCCTGGTGTTGTGTGGTTGAATGTGATCCCAAATAGTTCTGGAGGCATCTTGGCCTTGCTATGGGATACAGACTGAGAAGGGAAGGGAGGAACCTGGCACAGGGGTATCACAGCTGAGTGGTGCCTGCAGAACTGTTCCCAACTGGAATGTTTCTGTCAGTCTCTGTGTCAGGATGTTTGACTGGTTTGACTACCACGGCCACATGTGCATCTCCTTTGAGCTGCTGGGGCTCAGCACCTTCGATTTCCTGAAGGATAACAACTACCTGCCTTACCCCATCCACCAAGTACGGCACATGGCCTTCCAGGTGTGCCAGGCTGTGAAGTGTAAGTGTTCCCTGCTGCTCTCCCCCTGCTCTGGGCTTACCTGGGGAGCTGAGTAGGTTGCACTTCTGCAACTGGTGGCCCAGAGCAACAAGTTTTTGCTGTGGTTCTGAGCCTGAGCCTTCCTGCCCCTCTGGGAATGAATCAGCTTCATTTTCTGATGCTTGTGGGCTGGCAGTAGCTCAGAGCACTCCAGCATCCACCCCCCTGCACCTTCTGGCAATCAATACAATAAATCTTTGTGCTTCTACTGAAGCATCATGGCCTGGGCTTTGCCTGGCTGCTCACACCCAGCTTGAAATGTGGGCTAAACTGGTGCCAGTATGAGCAAACTGAACCAGTGATGGCTTTTTGGGGGGTGCAGCCTTGCTCTGCTTCTCTCCCCTCACCCTGACTCTTCTTTGCTCCCTCAGTTCTGCACGACAATAAACTCACCCACACTGACCTCAAGCCAGAGAACATCCTCTTCGTGAACTCTGACTACGAGCTCTCCTACAACTTGGAAAAGGTAACACACTGCCTCCACTTGGGCCTCCTTTTGGATCCTTGGTGTCCCTGACCCTGCCAGAGGACGTGGACTCCATGCAGTCCTTCAGGGCTTTTCATGATCTGCCAGTGCTCAGGCAGTGCTGAGTGAGCCATGGTGACCCCGGGTGTAGCTGGCTGGTGGTGGGAGCTTGTTTGGGGCTGATCTGTGGGGCTGCCAAAGCTTTCCCCTGCCGTGGTGCCCTGAGCTGTGCAAGGAAGGGGCTGGAGCTCCCAGGTGATGGATGCCATTCTCCCCCACGCAGAAGCGGGACGAGCGGAGCGTGAAGAGCACGGCCATCAGGGTGGTGGACTTTGGCAGTGCCACGTTTGACCACGAGCATCACAGCACCATTGTCTCCACCAGGCACTACCGGGCCCCTGAAGTCATCCTGGGTAGGTGCCACTGGGTCTCTGCCAGGGCCCTTGAGGGCACTGCGTGCTGCCCACTGGGCTGGGGAGTGTTGGGCTTCCAGATGATTCAGGAGCTTTCTGTTTTTGCCCTGGGAGATGGGAAGTGCTTTAACACCTCTGCAGTGCTGTTTCCTGGGAAGGCCATCGTTACAGCCCTGTCATTATCCTGGGTTTGTTCCACTTGGAGAAAAGGAGGTTCAGGGGGGACCCTCTCCACAACTTCCTGATGAGGGGTTGGGCTCTGCTCCCACGGAGCAAGGCACAGGACAAGAAGAAATGGCCTCAAGTTCTGTCAGAGTTGAACACGAGGAGAAATTTCTTCCTGGAAAGGGTGGTCAGGCCTTGGAAGGGGCTTCCCAGGGAGGTTTGGAGTTCCCATTCCTGGCGGTGTCCAAGGAGTGGCTCAGTGTGGCACTCAGTGTCCTGGACTGGGTGACAAGGTGGGGATTTGGCACAGGTTGGAGTTTGTCATCTTGAAGGTCTTTTCCAACCTTGATGATTCCATGATTATCAGCTGGTAGTCTGGCATTGCTGCCTGCTGGGCAGTATATTGGCAGCAGAGCACCAGGAGCCTGGCTGGAATAGGATGTGTTTTTTCAGTTATTTATTTTTAAAAGAAAGAAGGATTTGGGCTCTTGGGTTGTAACTGGATCATTTATTTAAACAACACTGTTTTTCAGAGCTTGGCTGGAGCCAGCCCTGTGATGTTTGGAGTATTGGCTGCATCATCTTTGAGTATTATGTGGGTTTCACCCTTTTCCAGGTGAGAACTGTGTTGTGTGGGTACTTCCCAACTGGTGAGAGGATGCTGGCTGCTTCCCAGCACAGCCCAGTCGCCCTGGGACTGATGGGGGTCCCTCCATCACTGCAGTCTTGTAGAGACACCCGAGGTGTTTGCAGGAAGGGGTTCTGGGTGGGGGAATACCCAGGGCTGGCAGCAGAACCACTGGAATGTGTTCCATGCCTTCTGTTTACACTTCTCTCTCCCAGACACATGACAACCGGGAGCACCTGGCCATGATGGAGAGGATCTTGGGGCCAATTCCATCTCGGATGGTCCGGAAGACAAGGTGAGCAAGGCCAGCTGGGCACTGCAGGTTTGCCAGCCCTCCTGCTCCATGAGCACTGGTTCTCTCTGGGGGGAATCCCAATTTGTAACTGCCTGGAACCCCACCAGTGTGGCTGGCACCTTGCTGGTGTGTTGTGCTCGGGTGTAACCTGCTCCCACCTGTTACTCTGACAGGAAACAGAAATATTTCTACCACGGCCGCCTGGACTGGGACGAGAACACCTCAGCTGGACGCTACGTCCGGGAGAACTGCAAACCACTGCGGGTAAGGCAGCTTGGCCCCTCTTCAGATTCTCCCTCTGGGCAAGCTTGGGCCAGCAGAAGGGTCAGACCAGTGTGGTTAAAGGGAGCCTTGACCATCCCAGTAATAGGAAGCTGCAGCAGCCTGAGTTTAATCTGAAGTGGAGGACAAGGGGGGCATGGAAAGTTCAGCAAGTGCCTGGGGTAGGGAGGGTGTGTGAAAATCTGTCGGTTCTGGATAGAGGAACATAGAGGTTAGCTCCAGGCTGAGCGATGGTCTGAACAAACCAGCCTTCCCCCAGCTTAGCTCGGGGAACATCCCAGGACAAGGTATAGCCTCCTTGAGCCTCACCTTCCCTTTCCTCCTGGCAGCGATACCTGACCTCGGAGGCCGAGGACCATCACCGCCTGTTCGACCTCATCGAGAGCATGCTGGAGTACGAGCCATCCAAGCGTGTCACCCTGGCTGAGGCCCTCAAGCACCCCTTCTTTGACATGCTAGGCATGGAGCCCAGCACAAAAATGTGGGACTCGAGCCGGGACATCAGCCGGTGACGCCACAGGTGCCAGCCAGCCCTCGGATTCTAGCCCCCGTGGAGGCCTGTGTGATTTCTATTCAGACACTTGGTGCTTTTTTTTTTTATACATGAGATGAACTTCCTGGACACGTTTGTAAAGCTGTTAATATGTGAGATACTGTAAATAGCCCAGATTCTCTGTCGGCCTTGGAGCACCATGGGCCTGACCTGCTGTCGCTGCTGCCGTTCTCGTGAGGTGAGGGGGCTTGTGTGTCTGTGCTGTAAATACCTCTCGTCACGTGTTGCTTTGTCTCCTGTTCCTGCCCTCCTCGGTGTAAATACTCCAGGACTCGCAGCTCTCTGTAGCTTATCTGTTTCCTTGTAAGTTATGGAACTGGTGGGACTGCATGGGAATTATTTTTTGGATCAATGTCATAGCCCATCCCCACACCAGAGTTTTATAAGAATTTTGTACAGTCTTTGTGAGAAATAAATATGAAGTGAATAAAGCACCTGGTCTGGGTTTGGCCTGACAGCAGCTGATCCTGGGGCTGTTCTACTATGCCCTGTGGGGGGAAGGAGAGGGGTGAAAGAAACTTTGTGGTCCAGCTGTCCACCTGCACCATTCCTCCCAAGCCTACACTGAGTAGGAGCTGCTTTTGTGGGGGGCAGGAAACCAGGGACTGGCCCTTTCTTCTGCTCTGGGTCCAGTGTTGGGATGGGAGGCAGAGAATGGACAGCAGGGCCCTGGGACAGCTGTTCTCTTACCTGAGGAAACCTCTCAGCCTCAGTTAAGGGGGAGCACTGGCTGCTGGTGGTGGCTGTTGGAAAAGCGGCTGTCAGGAGCCCACATCAGGCTGTCCTAACCCATTCCAGGGCTGTCTGTGTCTTTTTGGCTCTTCCCAGCCCTGCACAGAGGCTGGGCCTTGGTTTAGGCTGTTCCCTGGGCGTTGCTGGGGCTGTGTTACAGCTGATGGCAGGGGGGAGAGTCTCACTGGGATGTGGGCTCTGCTTCACCCTCTGCTGTGGCACCATCAGGCTGTCACCATGCAGAGGGAAAATGAAACGTCTGTTTTCACCTGGAGTGAGTGTGAGGAGTCTCAGGAAGGGTGACACTGAGGGATCTCCATGGGCTTGTGATCCCAACTCACCAAGCTTGGGGTGGGAGCCCTCACCTGCCTCAGGCAGCAGAGACAGATCCTGTCCCACTACCCGCGTGCCCAGCACTACACCGAGGCTGGAGGAGAATTGAGTCATACCTGTGGTCTTAGACTTCAAGAAAATTTTTGTGTCCAAAACCCAAATCCACAGCTTCTACCCCTGCTAGAACCAGTTCCAGGTTTGGGTTGAGGTGGGAGCTCACCTGCGGGATTCATGTGTCACTCTCAGTCTGTTGAGAGGCTAAAGAGAATTTTTAGCAGTCTGCTAAGCAGTGGGAGCTGGGAGGGGACAGGGCAGGCACAGGTGCATGTCCTGCTCCCGGGATGCTGAGGAATCTGTGTTCGGGAGGGGGTCAGCGTGCAGCCCACGGGCAGCTGGAGTGGATGGATTTGGAGATTCCTATAAATAACCGCTCCAGGAGACACAAGAGAAATTCCCCAAGTGCTCGTCGCCAGGCGAGTCCCTCGCTGGCTGTCGGGCCGGCTCGGTGACAGCTGCTGGAGTGGCGTCTGCGACCCTCTGGGTAACACCGGGAGCGGGGGCAGCAGGCGAACGGCACCGGGACCTGCCGGTAAAAGCAGGGAGCCGGACCGGGGGTCGAAGGTGGGGTCTCGGGGAGACACGCAGGGAGAGCTGCTGTCCCGGCAGGGGCCCGGAACCGTGGGGCGATGGATACCGGAGCACGGGGGTGATGGGGCGGGGGGAGATGGGCGCGCCCCACGTGACCCCGGGACACGTGGCCGCGTCACGTGCGCGCCCCACCCGGGGCGGCCCCGGCGCGTGCGCAGCGGCCCCCTGCGGCGGGGTCTCCCCGATGACGTCAGGAGCAACGGGACCAATCAGCGGCGGGCAGGGGCGGGGCTTGGTGGCGGCGGCGACGCCGGTCCCGCGGCTCCAGCGCGCTCCCGGTCCCGGTCCCGCCATGGCCCAGCGCGGCGGCCCCGCGGTGCTCCCGGACAATCCCTTCCAGGACCCCGCGGTGCTGCAGGCCCGGCCGGGCGCTGTACTGGATGGCTACAACCCCTTCGAGAGCGACGCGGTGAGCGGGGCCTGCCCGGATACCGGGGCCTGCCCGTGCACCGGAGCTTCTTCCCGCGCACCGGAGCCTCCCCGCTGCCGGCCCAGTCTCACCTCTCTCCTCTTCCCCTGCAGCCACCGCCGCCGTTCCAGACCCCTTCGGTAGCGCCGCCGCCCCCGGTACCGGCGGCCGCGCAGCCCCCGCGGAAGGCGAGTCCCACCGAGCCCCGCAACTACGGCTCCTACGGCTCGCAGGTACGGGGGGAGGCGCCGCCAGGCCCGGCGGGCTGGGGGGACACGGCCGCCGGCGGGAGCCCAGGGTTTGTGTTCCCCCCTGCAGGCCTCGGCCGCCGCCGCCACGGCGGAGCTGCTGAAGCGGCAGGAGGAGCTCAACCGGAAAGCGGAGGAGCTGGACCGGCGGGAGCGGGAGCTGCAGAACGCGGCCCTCGGCGGTTCCCAGAGTGAGTGGCTGCGGGGCTGGGGAGGGAGGGGACCCTCTCAGAGCCCTCCTCGCTCCTCCTCACCCCCTTCTGTCCACAGCGAGGCTCAACAACTGGCCCCCGCTGCCGTCCTTCTGCCCGGTGAAGCCCTGCTTCTACCAGGACATCCCCGTGGAGATCCCTGCTGACTTCCAGAAGACAGTTACGACCATGTACTACCTCTGGATGGGTGAGTGTCCAGGGAAACCCTGGGAGGAGATGGAAGAAGGAATGTTCTGTGCTGCTGCTCTGGGGAAACTGGGATGAACAGGTGGTCGTGGGGCTTGGAGGAGCCTTGGCTCAGGCTCCTGAGTGCTGTCCTCTCCCTCAGCCAGCACCATTACTCTCTTCCTGAACTTCCTGTCCTCGCTCGCCTGGTTCTGCGTGGACCCCTCGTCTGGTTCTGGTTTTGGCCTCTCCATCCTCTGGGCTCTGCTCTACACGCCCTGTTCCTTCGTCTGCTGGTATCGACCCATGTACAAAGCTTTCAGGTGTGTCCCTGAGCCATGTGCACCTGCTCCAGCTCCTGGGGGCCTCTGGCTCTGCAAGATATGGTGGTTCCACTCAGAGCTCCCTGTTCCCCCTGTGTTCCCTGCTTTAAGGACGGTTTGAGAGCTTTCTTCTGTGACCTAACCTCACCCATCTCTTCCTCCCAGGAGCGACAGTTCCTTCAACTTCTTTGTCTTCTTCTTCGTCTTCTTTGCCCAGAACGTGATGTATGTGCTGCAGGCCATTGGCATCCCAAACTGGGGATTCAGGTGCGCCACATGCTGACCCTGGAAAGGCAAGAGGTGGGTGGGGAAGAGAGAACCTGGGGGCAACAGCCTCTTGTTTTGCAGTGGCTGGATCCTGAGCCTGATAGCACTGCGGACTAACACAGCCGTGGCTGTGATGATGATCCTGGTGTCCTTGTCCTTCACGGCCGTGGCTGTGTTGGGGATCATTATGCTGAAAAAGGTGGGTTAAGGATCAAAGCCTGTGGCCAGAGCCCTCCCTTTGGGGGAGGTTTGGGCCATCACAACTCTGTTTACAAAGCCCTGACCCCCAGCCTGCTCCTGCCCTCCAGATCCACTCTCTGTACCGCCGGACGGGCGCCAGCTTCCAGAAGGCTCAGGAGGAGTTTGCAGCTGGGGTTTTCTCCAACCAGGCCGTGCGCACGGCCGCGGCCAACGCCGCTGCAGGCGCGGCCACCAACGCCTTCCGTGCGCCGTAGCCATGGGGGTGCCCGGCCCTGCCTCCCTGGCACACCTGGGCTCTTCCCGAGGAAGAGGAAATCTGGGTTGCACTTTCACTGGATCCCTGTGCGTCTGCATCAGCTGTCAGAGGCTGCCTCATCCCAGCTTGGAAGTGCTGGTGCCTGAATCGTCTGCTGCTCTTAACCCCCTTTCATCATGGACAGAGGCTGTTCTGGTTTGTGCTGGTCCCCTCCCCTCAGCAGCAGCAGGGTGGGAAGTGCTGCAGCCGAGCCCTGAGCCTGCCATCGCCCTCCCTTCCAGCACCAGCTGCTGGGGGCAGGAGCCTCCTCCAGATGGCTGGAATGCTGCTTCCAGGGACTGGAAAGGTCACTTGCCTTCCTTGTGCTCTTCTATTTCTCCATCTGGTGATGACATTTGTGTGCCCTGGGGTGTGGAGAGTCCCCTGCCCCCTGTGTGCCCAGGGACCCCCATGCTCTGCCAAGAACGTCATCCCCCTCTTCCTCCCTGGGCTTGCTCCAGTGGGATGAGGATGGGACTGGTGCTTTCCCCAGGGTGTCTTGTCCTTTTGTCCTGTCCCTTTCCCCGTCCTCTCCCTGTTTCCAGGCCCAGAGATGAGGAGAGCAGGGCAGGGACAGGCAGAGCTCGGGCAGCTGCTGCCTGTGGGGATCCTGCCTTTAGCCCATGTGGACCCCAAAGCTAGGCTGGGTGCCGAGGAGCAGCCCTGGCGTTTACATGGCTCCCCCTTGCCTCCAGGGAGGGGTGAACAGCTCCTCCAGTGCCCCTCCCCAACCGCTTCGAGGACTGTGACCCCCTGCTCCCCCCAGCACCCTTCAGCCAGGGCCTTCACCCTCTTCGGGGGCTGAGCCAGTCCCCGTGTGCAGCCCCGCGTCCCCCTTACCTGCTTTCTGTCCCCTGTCCTGGTGTCCCAGGTATCATGCGTTGTGCTTCACTTCATCTCCTCTCAGATGCTCCCGGTTTGTCCCTGCAGCTCCGGGGCTGGTGAGAGGCTTTGTGCCTTCAGCTGTGGGGGCCGGTGCCCTCCCCGTCCCGCTGCGGCGAGGGCTCCTCTGGAGTTCCCCGCCTCCTTCGCTGCTCCCCGTGTGCTGTTCCCCGACCGCCTCCCGGTTTATTTAAGGAATAAATGAAGGTTCACTCTGTTCCTTCGCCGTCTCCGTGCGCCGACCAGGGCTGAGGGGAGCGGCGGTGCCGGTGTCGCAGCTCTCGGGGGTGGTGTGGGTGGACTACAGCTCCCGTCGTGCCGCACAGGGGCGGCCCCGGGGCGGGCGCGGCCAAGGAGCCGCCGGCGTGTGGGCCCGTCCCCGCAGCTCCCGGAGCTCCGCCGCCCGCCTCCAGCTGCGGCCCCGGGCATCCCGGAGGGCGCGGCGGCGGCGATGCTCGGCCGGAGCCTCCCGCCGGCTCGGCGTCCCCGCCCGCCGCTCCGCGCGGCGCCGGGGCTGTGGGGCGCGGGGCGGACAGACCGCCTGTAGCCGCCCGTCCATACCGGTACCGGCCGGGCAGCGGGACCCGGCCCTGTGCCCGCCGCCCGCGGAGGATGCTCCGGTCCGGAGCGCGGCTCCCGCCTGCTGGCGCTGCCCCGGGGGCCGCGTCCCGGGCGGCGGCTCTCGGACCCCGCGGGGCGGGATGATCTCCCGGCGGGGGCCCGGAGCTCCACCGACGGCCAGGGAGGAGGCGGCGGTCCGGGGGCCGCGCTCCGTTTCCGGCCGGCGGCTGTAGGCCAGCCCCGGCCTGAGTGCGCAGGGACCGGCGAGGCCGGTTCTGTTCTCCGCGGAGCTTCTGGCGGCCCTGGCTCCGCGTGGCCGTGGGCGCTGCCCGAGCCCCCCCGCCCGGGGCAGTGAAGAGCCACCGTCAGCATCCTCCAGGCAGGCCGAAAGGTGGAGCCCGGCCCGTTCCCGCAGAGCGGCTGCTCCTGCTCCCCGCGGTCCTGGCGCGGTGCCGCTGGCTGCCCCGGGGCTCCGGGGCCGGCCCTGAGCCGCCGCCCGCCGCGGCCATGCCCTCCCCCACCGACTCCAGTCGCTCGCTGACCGGCCGCAGCTCCCGCAGCCTCACCCACCTTCGCCTCCAGCGCACCTGGCTGCAGGTCCTGCTGGTCCTGGGTCTCGTGCAAGCCATCCTGGGCGTCCTCATCGTCACCTTCAGTCTGGTGGCGGCCACCATCACTCCCTCCACCAAAATCCGTCACTCCTGCCCGTCCTGGGCCGGCTTCTCGGTGAGTGTGGGGCCGGGGTGGTGCGGGGAGGGGTCCGCGCTGCTCCCCGGGGGCCGAGCTTGCCGCCGGTCCCAGGGGAGGGCAGCCCCGCTGCTCCCCCACCCTCTGCCCGTGGCTGCCGCGATGCATTGTGGGAAAATCCCGAGGGCTCCCCCAGGGTGATTCTGTGAGGGTTGGGGACCCCCGAGCGGTGCGGGGGAGTGTCCGGGGTATGCAGCCACGGGCAGGGAGAGGTGTGGTGGCACTAGAGTGACGACAGGGCATGGACCGGGGGGTGATGGGGGCTCTGCTCTGTCTGCTGCGTATTGGGGTGAGGGCAGCACCCGGGGTCCTCCGTGGTGACCCTGTAGCACGGATCCTGGCCTGGGTTTGCTGCCCAGACAGAGCAGCCCGCAGTCCCCAGGCCCTGAATCAGCAATTTCTCCCATCTTGTGGTGCCAGGGCTGCTCCTACAGCCCCGCTGCTCCTGGGCTGTCTCCTGGCCTGCAAGGATTGGGGGGCTATGCCCGTGGGCATGGGCTGCTCTGGCACCACTGCCTAACAGAGCCTTGTCCCTGTGCTCACCCCCGGGCTTGTGCATCTGCAGCTCGCACTGTCCGGGCTCGTCGGCATCATTTCCTGGAAGCGGCCGCTCACCCTGGTGGTAGGTGTTGGGGGGGACATCCTTCTGCAGGCGGGGGAGCCCAGGATGGGGAGGCCGAGCAAGCCCTCGTGCCCCGGGTGCGCTGGCTCCCTGCTCCGCAGCCCTGCGCAGCCGGCAGCCCCTCTCCTCCCGCTGCAGATCGCCTTCTTCACGCTGCTGTCGGTGCTGGGCGTCATGCTGAGCCTCGCCGGCTCCATCCTGTCGTGCCAGAACGCGCAGCTGGTGAAGACCCTGGAGGCCTGCGAGAGGGTGAGGCTGAGCGGGGGCAGCCCCGGCGCCCCCTGGGCCTCCGTGCACGGCTTGTCCCTGGCTCTGGGGCTCTGGGGACGTGAGGAGCTGCAGAGGTGGGGTCTGATGGTGGGATGTGCTGGTGGCTCTCAAGGGATAGCATGGCATCAAGAGCTTCCTCACAGTGTTTCTTGTCCCCAGGAGAGGGACACGTGTGTCTGCTGCCAGGCCCGCTCGGAGCCCCCACCCGCCTCCTGCAGCCAGCAGAGCGAGATGCTGACCATGTTCCCCAACCCCAACTGCCGGAGCATCCGTGTGGCACTCAAGGTGGAGGACCAGGGGGATACAAGGGCTCCCTGGGAAGCGGCCGCACACCCGGCCATGCTCTGCGGGCTCTGCAGCTCACCCCACTGCTCCCCAGGATCTCCTCTTCAGTGTCTGCGGCTTGACCATCTTCTCTACCATCATCTGCACGCTCTCTGCTGTCGTGTGCTGCATCCAGATCTTCTCCCTTGACATTGTCCACGTGGTGAGTCCCAGCTCTGGCCCAGGAGCAGACAGGGCTGGGAGCAGCGCTCTCAGGCTGGGGTGGTCCCTGGGGTGCCAGGGCAGGACCTGGCCCCAGTCAGGTGCAGATTAAAGCCCAGGATGCACATCCCTTGCTGGATCTCTAGGCAGGAGGTCTCAGCTTTCTCTTCTCCCCTCTCCCTGCAGCTGGTCCCACAGCGCTCGAGTTCTGTGACATTGGAATGCACGTCCCCACCTGACACGTTTCTGCAGAGCATGATGGACTTCGAGGAGTTTGTGCCCCCAGTGCCACCACCCCCATACTACCCACCTGAGTATACCTGCAGCTCTGAGACGGATGCACAGAGGTACCAGCTGTGAGAGCAAGGCTGGTAGGGCAGGGGTAGGGTAGGCTGGGCTTGTCCCACCCAGTGTGGCTGTTCTGCTCTTGCCTCTGCAGCATCACCTACAATGGCTCCATGGACAGCCCTGTGCCCCTCTACCCAACCGACTTCCCCCCATCATATGAGACTGTGATGGGGCTGCGGGGAGACAGCCAGGTGGGGGCCATGTGGCCGTGGGAGGGGGAGGCGAGGCCGGGGGGGCTCCTGCTCAGCTGAGCCCTGAGCGTGCTGTCCCACAGGCCACCCTGTTCGACTCGCAGCTCACAGAGGGCTCCCACGCCTGCACCTGCGACCGCGTCCCCTCCATTGTGCTCAGCGGAGAAGGTGAGCATTGCCCCTGGGCACAGGGGACGGGAGCGGGACCGCAGCAGGTTCGGCTCCTCCCGGCAGCCCTTCAGCGGTGCCCGTCCCCTCCTTGCAGTATCCATGGACAGCGGGTCCCTGATCATGTCCGAGATCATGGACATCCCAGGGGACAGCAGCCCCTCGGAGGACTCGTGCCTGCTGGAGCTGCAGGGCTCCATGCGCTCCGTCGACTACGTCCTGTTCCGCTCCATCCAGCGCAGCCGCGCCGATTATTGCCTGAGCGTGGACTGCGTGCAGTGCAGCCACCACGCTCGCAGCCCCACGCTGGGCTTGCAGGGCCCCTTCGAGGAGACGCCCCAGCCCCGCGTGCGGGGCGAGCGATCCTACTCGTGCTCCACGGCGGAGCCCGGCCACGACGGCATCTTGGTGGGGGGAGCCGTGACCCACAGCTGCAACCGGCTGGCGGGGCTGGCGCGCTGCGCCGGGCCCTGCTTCCCCGAGGTGCGGCTCAAGGACAAGGGCTCCTCGCTGCAGGGGCGCGGCGCTGGCCGCCCCTCGGACACCGCCGCCGGCCGCCCCGGCCACCCCCGGCGCAACAGCGAGACCTCCTGCCCCTCGTCCCCGGCCCCAGGGCTGGCCCCGCGCCCGCTCCTGAGGTCACACAGTGACCCCGGCGTCCCGATGGCCGGCCACGCTGGTAGGTGACGACCGCTGGGACGGGATGGGCGAGTGGCAGCGTCTGTGCGGTGCAGCCGGGATGTGCCGCAGGGTTTGGCTGTGTTTTTCTGCGACCAGATGGGATTAGAGCCAGTCTGGGAAGGAATGGGGGGAGCAGGGGAGGTCTGCTGGCCTGGGAGCAGGGGGTGCTGGAGGGTTGTATTGCCTGGGGTCTGCACAGCTGCCCAGGCCTGAGGGCTCTCTCTGCTCCCAGCAGATTTCAGGGAAGTACTTTATACCAAAGCACTGGAGGACACCGTGTCTGACTCCTCCGCTGATACAGGTCAGGGCACTGGGATGTACTGGGATAGAAAGGGGGCACGGGAGGGGGGCCGGAGCCCTCTGGGGATTGAGGTCACCCTGGGCTGGGGCTGGGACAATGGAGACCAATGGTGGGACCGCTCCTGCTGACAGGGATGGGAGACAGCAGAACCCCAGGCCTGCGAGGATAGGTCTGCTGGGAGCAGCATCCTAGGGTCTGACAGTGGGGACAGCTCCATCAGAGCAGTGTCCTGGATCTGGGGGCAGGGATAAGTCTGTCAGAACAGTGTCCTGGGTCTGCTGGAGCAGCGTCCCAAGTCTGATGGTGGGGATGAATCCATCAGAGCAGTGTCCTGGGTCCGTCAGAGCAGTATCCCATGTCTGATGATGAGGACAGGACTGCCACGGCAGTGTCCTGTGTCTGACAGTGCTCACTCCACAGGGCTGTGCTCTGAAGCCTGCCTGCTCCACCGTTCCCACTGTGACTCCCCGCCGCTGCTCCGGGCTGCCTCGGTGGGGAAGAACAAGCTGCCACCCTGCAAGAAGGTGTCACAGCAGCTGTCAAAGACAACCACCCGCTCCCTGGGGGACCTCAAAGGCTACCGGGGCACCCGCGGGCTGGTGGCCAGGTTCCTGCAGAGACCCAAGCGCAGCCTGGCAGCGGGCATGGACGTGTCTGGGCACAGCTTCCATGGGCACAAACAGGTGGGTTCTAGAAGCCACAGATGATGGGCAACTCCTAATTCCCAGAGAACTCCCATCCACGCTCGCCCTCCCCATCAGCACCCCCACCTTAGCCCTTTCCATTCTCCTGCCACACCCCCATTGTGTTGGCACCCTGGCTGCAGGCACAGCGTTCTTCCTGGAGCACTGTCCTTGTCCAGCCCTTCCTGGGGGGCAGCTCCTTTTCCTTGATCCCCACTGGAGCCACAGGTGGGAAAATCACGCCTGTTGCAATGGCTTTGGCTTTGCCCCTGAGTCACTGCACCTGGAGGCAGCTGCTGGGACATCCCAGCAACTCAGATTTACGGGACGCCGCAGTCCTTGCGCAGCCCGGGAGGCCTTGACGGGAACAAACCTGCCCCAAATGCCAGCGTGGGCGCGTGATGCACGCCTCTGCCATCCCTGTCACCTCTGTCCTCCTGCCCCGTGTGCCTGGAGTGTAGAGGGTTGAGCACAGGGCGGTGAGTGCGGGAAGGTGCCATGGGCAGTGCTGCCATCCCTGTGGCTGCAGCCTGTCCCCATGGGTTGGTTGCAGGTTCCCTGGAGTGCCTGGCCAGGTGCAGAGCGGCCCCACGAAGGAATCCACCTGCAGAGCTGCGGGGACCTGAGCTCCACCTCGTCGCTGCGCCGGCTCCTGTCCACGCGCCGGCTGGAGCGCAGCCGCCCCCGGAGCCTCAGCGGGACCTGCAAGGAGAGCGCGCTCTGAGGGCACAGCCCCGCAGGGACCCTCCGCTGTGGAGAGGGAGTCCCGCTCTGGGCTCAGCCCTGGACATTGCTCGGACATTGCTGCTGCCCCGGTGGGGCTGGGCCCTGCGCTGCTGCCCCAGGGGCTTGGCTGGGCTCCTTCCCCAAGCGGGGCTGGGGTGAGGGGCTGGTCCCCTGGTGTGTCTGCTGGGGGGCCGGGACGGCTGTGCCTGTCCCCTGCCTGTCTGGGATGGTTTTGCCTGTTCCTTGCCCTATTCCTTTTTCTGGACATGCTTGTCCCTTGCCCTGTCCCTTGTGCCAGCTGTGCCTATTCCCTGGGATGGCCATGCCTGTCCCCTGCCCTGTCCCGTGTTCTGGCTGTGCCTGATCCACACACTAGCCATACCCTGTCCCCTGTGCCAGCCGTGCCTCTACCCTGGCATGGCCGTGTGTGTCCCCGGTGCCAGCTGTGCCTGTGCCCTGGGGCAGCCATGCCTGTCCCCTGCCCTGGCCATGCCGTCCTTTGCCCTGTCCCTTTGGCTGGCTATGCTGGCTTGATCCCCGGTCCCTTGTGCCAGCCATGCCTGTCCCCTCCACTGGCCGTGCCTGTCTTCTGCCTTGTTCTTTTGGCTGGCTACGCTGGCTTGATCCTCGGTCCCCTGTGTCAGCCGTGCCTGTACTCCAGGACGACCTTGCCTGTCCCCTGATCTGCCCCTTGTGCTGGCCTGGTCCCTGGCCTCCTGTGCCAGCCTGCCCGTACCCCGGAACAGCCATGCCTGTCCCCTGCCCTACCCCTGAGCTGGCTATGCCTGTCTCCTCTCCAGCCTGTCCGGTCCCGGTCCAAGTCCCGGTGCCCGCGCTGGCCGTGCCTGTTCCTCCCCGCCCGGCTGCGCCCGGGCCGCGCTGCGGAGCCGGTCCCGCGGCCACTGCCCCTCGTAGAGACCGAATAAAGGTGGTCGCCACCGCCCACGGGGTCGGTGTCACGGGGCGAGCGGGGCGGGACGGGGCGAGCGGGGCGGGGCGGGGCGGGGCGGGACGGGGCGGGGCGGGGCGGGCAGTCAGCTGATCGGTCACGGGGTGCCGGGTCCCGGTTTCCCGGTGGCGGCTTTGCGGAACGGGGTGGCCGGTGCCGTTGGGAGGGAGCGGGGACCGGGACCGGGACTGGGGCCGGCACCGGCACCGCCTGCGCCTCTTGGGGAGGAGCCGGGGGGAAGCGACCCTGCGTCCACGCTGTTGCAGTTGCCCCGGTTCGCGGTTGCTCCGGTTCGCGGTCCCGGAACCGGCGCGGGGGAAGGGCCGGGGCCAGGCCCGCCCAGATTCGGTGCCGCTCCTGTACCGGGTGTGGGCGGGACGGGGCTGCCCGGGCGCTCTTAAAGGCAAGGCTGGAGGCGGACCCGGTGCTGCCGGCCGGATCCGAGCGCACCGGGAGCGGCGGGGCCATGGGCTCCGTCGGTGCCCTGTGCTGGCGGCTGCTGCTGGTGCTGCTGGCCGTGCACCGGGCTGCAGGTGAGCGAGGGGGACCCTGGGGGACGCGGGGGGTGCAGGCGACGGAGGGACGCCCGATGGACCGGAATGGGAGGGGAGGGAATTCCTTGGGAATCCGTGGTCGGGGATACCCGGGAGCTGTCTGGGGGGTCCGGAGGCAGAGTGGAGCTCGGTGCTCGGGAGTGCCGGGGTGTGGAGCACGGGGGCAGTGGCGTCACCCCCGGGGCAAGCGGGAGAGCTGGCAGGGACACATCCCTGAGGCTGCCCCCACCACCCTGCCGTGCCCTCCCAGGCGCCTGGCCCTGCAGCCCCAAGTACTTCGGCCGTGATGCCATGGTCTGTGTCTGCAACGCCACGTACTGTGACACGCTGGACCCCGTGGTCCTGCCGCCCCTCGGCTCCTATGTCAAGTATGAGAGCAGCAAGGCTGGCAAGCGGCTGGAGAGGAGCGAGGGGAGATTCCAGCGCAGACTCTGTGCCCCAGGTACTGCCACGGGTGGCAGGGATGGGCTGGACCCCGCTGCAACCCACCGTCACGCTGGGCTCCCCTCCCTGCAGATGTTGTCCTCACCCTGGACGTGACACAGCGGTTCCAGAGGGTGAAGGGTTTTGGTGGTTCCATCACCGATGCGGCCGCCATCAACATCTTATCCCTGCCGGAGAGAGCACAGGATCACCTGCTGCGCTCCTACTTCTCTGAGCAAGGTAGGATGTTGGGGAGACAGGTGGGATGGTGACAGGGTCTATGGGTGCTGGCATGTACACCTCGTGTACACCTCACTGTGCCTGGCAGGGCTGGAGTACAACCTCATCCGGCTCCCCATGGCCAGCTGTGACTTCTCCCTCCATGCCTACACCTACGATGACGTTCCCTACGACTACGAGCTCACTCACTTCAGCCTGCGAGATGAGGACACGAAGCTGAAGGCGAGCGGTGGGAGAGAGCAGGGTGGGGTGGAGGGTCACAGGGGCTGAGCTGAGTCAGCCCCTCCACCTCCTCCTGCAGATCCCCCTCCTTCACCGAGCCTCGGCCATGAGCAAGCGCCCGCTGTCACTGTATGCCAGCCCCTGGACCTCCCCCACCTGGATGAAGACCAGCGAGTCCTATGTGGGGAAGGGGACACTGAAGGGGCAGGCAGGGGACAAGTACCACAAGACCTGGGCCAACTACTTTGTACGGTGAGGAGCGGCTGGGGCCAGGGCAATACGTGGGGGACTCTCCGTGGTGGCACTGGGGGCTCCTCACGGCTCACCCTTTCCCCCCACACCAGGTTCTTAGATGAATACGCCAAGCACAATGTGACATTCTGGGCAGTGACAGCAGAGAACGAGCCCACGGCGGGGCTGATCAACAACTACCCCTTCCAGTGCCTGGGCTTCACAGCTGAGCAGCAGAGGGACTTCATCGCTCGGGACCTGGGCCCAGCACTGGCCAACAGCTCCCACCGCCACGTCCAGCTCATCATCCTGGACGACAACCGGCTCCACCTCCCGCACTGGGCCAGAGTGGTGAGTGTGCTGAGGGGGATGTGCCATCATGGTGACCCGGGGCAGAGTCCCTGTCCCTGTGGGAGGCTTGGGTGCTTCATCCTGCAGAGGGCTGGGCCTCTGGCTCTGCCCCATGGGACTGACTCTTCTCCTTGTCAGGTCCTGGAGGATGAGGAGGCAGCTCGCTATGTCCACGGCATTGGCATCCACTGGTACCTGGACTTCATCGGGCCCATACAGGACACAGTATTGCCCACTCATGAGCTCTTCCCTGACTACTTTATCCTGGCCACCGAGGCGTGCATTGGGGCCCATTTCTGGGAGAGGGATGTGATCCTGGGCTGCTGGGAGAGGGGGAACCAGTACAGCCACAGCATCCTGATGGTGAGGCCCCTGTGTTTCCCTGTGCACTGGGCCCTGGGGAGGGTTGCTGGTGTTGGGCAGGCATCTGAGCTGTCCTGTTGCAGAATCTGAACCACTTTGTGGCTGGCTGGACTGACTGGAATCTGGCCTTGGATCTGGAGGGGGGCCCCAACTGGGTCAAGAACTATGTGGACAGCCCCATCATCGTGGACAGCAGTGAAGGCATCTTCTACAAACAGCCCATGTTCTACCACATGGGGCACTTCAGGTGGGTTGGAGCCTGCAACATGTGCCAAGCTGCCTGGGCTCCAGCAGCAGCTTGTCCTGAGAGGAGCAAGACAAATTTGGCTCGAGAGGAGCTCTCCTGGGGTGTGACTCCCACCCTGAGGTTGCTTCTCGTTTGTCTGTTCAGTAAATTCATCCCTGAGGGCTCCCAGCGTGTGGGGCTCGTCGCCTCCAGAGAGTCCAAGAAGACGGCGCTGGAGTACACGGCTTTCGAGCGCCCCGACGGGGCTGTGGTTGTGGTGGTTCTGAACCGGTGGGTGCTGCAGCCCGGCCTCCCCATCCCACCGGGCCCAGTGCGGGTGCTGCGGGTCTGACCGCCCTGCTCTTGCCCCCCAGGTCCCCACAGGACATCACTTTCGGGCTGGCGGACACCGTCGGCCTCATCTCGGCCGTGGCTCCGGCCAACTCCATCCAGACCTACTTGTGGCTGCGGCAGTGACGGGGCTGAACGCCCATGGCTGGCCAGGGGCCGGACGCAGCTGGGCCAGATGTGCAGCCCCAGCTGCCCGCGGGCTCGGGCCGGGGCGTGCGGGGGAAGCGGCTCCCCGGGGCCAGGGCGGAGCCGGAGTGGGCCGGGCCGGGCCGGGGACGCCGAGCGTGTGCAGGAGGGCCGGGGGGCACCGGTGCCCCTCAGGGTGGAGACCCCACAGGCTGTGAACGCTGTGTTCTGCTGTTCCGACATTAAACAAGGATGCTGCCTTGATGTCTGCGGCTGGAAGAGAAACGTCTGGGTGCCTCCCCTGCTCCTGGGCACTGTGGCTGGGTGCCACCCCGGCATGGAGCCTGCTGGAGTCTGGCGAGTGGCGCAGAGCACCCCGAGCATCGTGGGGCAGCTCCTCTCCCTGCCCACCCCCTGCTCTTCGTGAACTTCAGCTCCCCGTGGGGCTCACTCTGCTGAGAGATGCTCCAGGTGTGAGTCTGCTCCCATTTCCAAGCAGGCGCTGCCTGGCTGGGGCTGAGCAGAGCCCGGGTGTGCTCCAGCTGCCTTTGGGGACAGGTTTTAGGACCTTGCAAGTGGCTCGAGATTCACCCTGAATGCAGATGCTCTGGGTGCTGCATCAGGAGCAGGGACAAAGCACTTTGACACCCGCCCTGTGATGGAAGGGCTGAGCAGGGACTGCAGCCAAGCTTTAGCTTTCTGTGCTCTTCCTGCCAATCTGTAGCCACTTGCAGCCTGGTGTCAGGCCAGGGGCTGTGTGGGTCATGTCTCTCCCAGACCAAGGACCCTGAGGCCAGGGCCAGCTCCAGGAGCATCGCAGCATGGGGTCTCGGTCCCAGCCAGCTCTGGCTGAGGTCAGGGCAGTGTCAGCTGCTCCCGGGGCTTTTCTGGAGCAGGGAGGCTGGCCAGGCTGCAGCAGCCCTGCCTGGAGCCTGCTGTTCCCCATGAGGGCTGAGCTGAGG